AGATCAGTTGATATTATATTGGATGATGATTTGGTCGACAAAGCGAAGCCTGGTGATCGTATACAATTAGCGGGTTGCTACAAAGCTATTGGCAAGCCAAATCAAGCCACGACTTCAGCAACCTTTAAGTGAGTTAATTATTTATAATTAAATTGTTATTTAGCAACGTTGTTATTTTACCGTTTATTACGATTATATAGGACCGTCATTATTGCTACAAATATCACCATCTTGTCGGGGGATATCGGTAGAAAAATAGTCACGCAAGAAGATATTAAAAATATAAAAAAAGTTTCGAAAACTAAAGATGTATTTGAATTATTAGCGAGATCTTTAGCACCATCAATTTACGGTCATGAAATTATAAAAAAGGCAATTTTACTTATGTTATTAGGCGGCAAAGAGCAAAACTTGTCTAGTGGATTACCATTCTCATCTTCTGTGGGATATCCTGATGCAGTTGGTAAGTAATTTCCAATAGTTGTAGAATCTTGATATTCTTTGTAATAAAAAACTCCAGTTTTTTCACAAAAATGAACACTTTTTGATAACTTTAACCGAACGAGGGAACCTACAAATTTTGAAGAAATTGAACAATGTGAAAAAAAAAACAGTCATGGCCTTATAATCAAGAACATTATTTGAACTTCATAATACATCGCGAAACTATCCCCTCTATGCAAATCAATTTTCCTAGATGTATAGATTTTAATGTTCCCGGATTAACATGATAACGAAAATTTCCCGTAAATCCAACATATATATGTAAGTCTTCGATCTTGTTAATTATAGGATCATTTATGCTTAGAGCGACATCTTTGATAGCCTTTTCAAACGCGAGTATCCATTCGTTAGGAGAATCTATAATCCTATGAATCTATTTATTTAATCTTATTTGCAATAACTAATATAAATCATATTCAATATATAAATTAATTTACTTTTCCGAATTTTCACTGTGATAATGACGTAAATCATTTAAACTGACAATTAGTCGTTTTTCTCCATTTCGTAATAAACGTAATAACTCGCTTTTATATTTAATTTCGTAATCTTTGTCCTAAATTATTAGTAAGTCAGAATAGATACGTAATTATAATTGCTTAGTCTGTACACCAAAAATACGCGTTATGTTATACGCGAAAATACGCGTGAATATAAATAGTACGTTTGCTTCCAGGAATTCTTTAAGAAATCGAGCGCGTTCATTGAACAATTCATCTTGAAGTCGAAGTTCTTTTGCGTTCGAAGTCATGTTTACTGAACAGTTGAATAAACTAGCACGAAATTATAACGATATACTGTATTGTAAATTTAAAAATCATAAAAATCTGCAGAATAATTGGCTAATCTAAATTCTCCGTGCCAAATTTTTTCTTTTTTTCGAATCGAGCCGTTATGCCGGGTTTAGGAATCGGACTTTGAGATTTTAGAAGCTTCTGTTTCTCGCCGCAACATCATCATTAAGGTTTACTGTATCGTTCCGAAATAACACCCTTGGACATTATTTCGAGTAGTTTATAACTTATAAATTTACTCGTTACCCGAAATCTCTAACTCTTCGGAAGATTAGTGATACAAAAAACGGCTTGATCTGAGCATACCAAGCCGAGCCATTTAACGGCTCGGCTACGGTCTACTAATAAAGCCGTGGGCCATAAAGCCAATAAAAATCTCAAAAAAAAAAATATATGGGCTAGGTGCTGAGAAAATGACAATTTTCAAAAAAAAAAATTAACTTGGAATCATTTTTCTTTTTTTTTTTTTCTTTTTTTTTTACTAGAATCATTTTTCACTTAAGGAACAAATGCTGTTATCTTAATAAAATTTTGCAGTATATTAACGTTAAGGTTTTTATACGTAGTACGTATTGATTTGGAACGGTGATTTTTGTCTCAACCGTAACCGTAACTTGTCGTACCGGTATGCCGTAAAATTCATTGGAATGACTCGCCTGCATAACTAGTCGGGAGCATGGTATGATTCTTTTGTAAGGTGAATATTGAAGTTCATTTAAAGTTCGGAATAACTTTTTTGCGATTTTTTTATTAGTAAAACGTTATATGCTTAAAAAGTACTTTACATCAGAACATCAGACGAACGTCTACTCATAATATGTTTAGAGTAAGGATTGGAATCGGTTTAGTCGATTAAAAAATCAGTATAATAAACTACTATGTTTAGTCGATTAATTAGTCGACTAAACCGATTCAATCCCTAGTTTAGAGCATAATTTGATTTCGAAAGAGACCAATCCATAAAGAACATATGTTGAATATACAATGTGAAAACATTTCATGAACCGAACCCAGTAGAAATTAGAATTCTAATAT